TGATATCTATTGAGCACTATTATAATATCTATTGAGATCTATTATGATATCTATTGAGCACTATTATAATCTATTGAGCACTATTATAATCTGCTGCAATTAGATCTCTCCCTGATTCATTTTACTTGTTCCTTTTTTTTTTGCAACCAAACAGCATTTTATTGACAAAAATCTATTCACCTTCACATTCATAAAATTATATAATTTTACATATATCAAAGTATTATTATCATTCACTTTTATCTATAATGTCTAATAGTAGCATTCTATCAGTATGACTTTAATTCCTGATGATCTACAATTTTCTTTACTGCTAGAAAGAATGAATTGGCTGAAACATTTTAGTAATGGCAGAAGCAACAAACAATTCTGGGAAATATGTTATAGAAAATTATAGGAAAAATTATAGAAATATGATATACAAAATTATAGAAAGTAAACTAGCACACCTTTTTTAAAGATTCCAAAAAATTAAAGCAATCAAATATTTTTTTTAAGTAAATAAGTTATAGCAGTTCTATTTAAGCTATTGTTTATAATGTCAAAGAGAGTCTGTTGGGTTTATCAAATATATGTGGGTGGTCTTAATGGTACTGCTGTAGGTTACAGATATTTACCCAAACATTAAAAACACAAAAAAAATAAAAATCACTCAGGAGAAGTTGGAAGAGCATAAATGTGCTACATTCCTTCTCTCATACCCTGAAAAGAAAAGCTAGGCAATGTTAGTCTGTTTTTATTTACAAGTTCAGCATATGTTGCAAAAAGTTTTATTTATTATTAACTGATCATTAAAAAATAGATGATTGTCCAAGCACTGTGCATACTAAGAAAGATGTTGGAAAGTTAACTCAACAAGTTTTATTCATGACCCCAAAAAGTGTTTAGTTTTCACAATGATTACATATAAAAGCAGCCTCATTCATTGCCACAATTTTCATGTGTGTACTAAATAACCTAAGCTGGTGATAACATTAAGATGGGAAGAGTTAAACCAGAGTCTGGAATTTACAGTCTGCCAGTTTTACACTTTTAGTAGAATGCAATTACGTTACCTCCTGCAATTCGCAAACTCTTTATACTAACACCACATCTTCACAAAAAGATGTCTGCTCTGTATCTTTTGTCTTCAGATTAAACACAGTAATTGTCAATTTTCAGTTTTGATGCTCAATTCTCTTCTTTGTATATTTTTTGTTGTAAACACATTTCAACTGATCAATGTAAATCTGTGAGAAAAATACAAAATTAAAATAATCATCAGCAAATATACAAGGGAGTGCTGAAAAGTTCTCATTTTAACCAAGGTCACTTCTAAAGAAAAATTTATATATTTGATCAGTTGATCAGATTTTGTGTAGTCAATTCGTTTGGAGACTTTTTTCATAAAAAGAAATGATTTGAGAATCTTATTTAAGCCATGTATTAAATAATTCATAAAAGACAAAATTTTATTTTTTTTTCTTAACAAAATGTTTCGGTCTATGACTATCAAATAAGCAAGATAGATTGGGAATAAAAATTTATTTCTAATAAGATTAGAACTGACATTTTTTTCTTGTCCCTGAGAGAGTCCAGCTTGACATGGAACAGGGTATGGGATGTGATTTGAAATATATGAAGAAATATGATAACCTAATGGATAGCAACTTGTAATGAAAAATTGGAAAGCCAAGTTTATTACATTTGCTTATGTGCTAAATACCCGTCTCTTCCCCCCTACTTATAGGTTAAATAGTAGAACAGACTGGGCTAGCAACCACTGTAGGAGAAGGACAACTCTGAATTCAAAACTTGACAATGTTTGAGGACCTTGTGGCACACTATATGCACCAGTTCTTTATAGTCAGTTTTTCCCAAAAATATGTGTAGTTCTGCATAAATCATCACTAAAATAATCAAATCATATGTATGAAACAGTCTGACTGTTCAGTTCTAGGAGATGAATTGTTAGACATTCATATGTCAATGATAACAGGAGAGTCTCTATCATGCATGCACACTCACACAGTTGATATGTTTCATGTTTCTAATCACACCCTTCTGCCAGGGTGGCTAGCTAATCCAGGCATCTGCTCAGCATGAGATCTCACCTGTGTTTTATACGGCAGCTATGTTGAGTGGACATTAGTTAAAGGTTTTGGGAGAGCATGCATAATGTGATCAGTTTTTTTTTTAACAAGACCAGTGTGCTCAAATCTTCAGTCAATAACTTATGCCTGTGCTAGTACAACCATCAATAATTCTGAACAATTCCATCTACCGAATTTGACTCACAAGGTTAAGGTAGACCTGTGGTATGGCTTTCAGATACTACCCAATAGTGCCATATGCTGAGATCACCTCTTCATGCTGATTGCATCATAAAGTTACCTCCCTGATAAATCAACCATGGTAAGATTCAAATGCAGGTGTCATGATTAAAAACCAAATGTTCTAACCACTTGATCACACGATAGGACATTGATATATAAATATATATATATATATATATATATATATATATATATATATATATATATATATATATATATATAGTTTTAAGATGTGCTATATTTATGGGATAAAGTGCTCAGTATCAGAGATAGAGCATATGTAAATATAAAGGTGAACCTTGAAGTCAACACTCAGAGGCGACAGGCTGTTTCATGCTAGACACAATCGCCTGACAATTGCATCTAGCATGAAACAGCCTGTTACCTCTGAGTGTTGACTTCAATGTTCACATATATATTAGTCTGATTGAATAAATTATAAACATTATGTCTACTTATTTTTATCCTAATCCTTTCATATTCACAAACATTTTTTTCTGTATATTACAATTAATATCTTTTATAAATATTTTCATGGTAATTGTTCTGATGAGCTTTCTTCTTTGGTGCTTCGGTTTCATCAATTTCACCATTGAAATTGCTACTTGTAATCATAAGTCTATGTTTTCACTTCTTGCTTGTGGAACTCTTTTCTGGCTACATTCTTTCCTGTCAACTATGATCTTCAAAAATTGAAATGCAACACCAATTGATATCTTGTGTTTCCTTGAACCTGTTCTTTTACTATCCTGTATTTCTTTCTCCTTCCGTAAACCATTGCATCTTAGTGACTTTATTGCCTTGCTCAGGATGAAATAATTAAAGATATATAAAAACTCGTGATATGAAATATAAGGCTAAATAAGTATAAAACATGTTTATAGGTTTGACTGATCAATGTTTTATTAAAGGTGGGTGGAGACAGAGAAATAACAAGAAACCTGTTTTATTATGAGGAATTAGATCTTTACACACTCTTTGGTTGACTCACTGAGAAAAATATGAAGGTGTGTTTTTTTTATTTTACCTCATTTCTTTTTTTAAGTTATGTTTGATACTAAAAAAAAATCATATTGAATTTAATTTCCTTGCTTATGTCAAGTGTAGTTACTGAAAGAAATGCATGAAGTCAATAGGAAAGAGGCGGGTGGAAGTGCTTACAGGAAGTGAGTGCTTTTGAGCAACCATAAAATAATATAAATTTAATTTCATTTGTCTTTTCAGGATTCTTAAGAATTCAACACAGTTACTCAGCTCAGCCTACACACACATACACACATATTAGAGAAAGCAAGCCTAGGGTATATCTATATTATAGGTGTAAGTAGATACTTATAAATATGTATAAATATCTACTTACACCTATAATATAGATATATATTTAACCCCTTCTTTGCCAATTATTTTGGAAAAAAACATTTCATTTTCAGAAGATTTTTTAATTTGTTTTTAATATAGTAACTAAGAAACTGTGGCACTTAAGGACTTAAAAAGAATCAAGATCTTCTAGGAGTTACGTAATTCCATCACTTGAGTATAGACATTAAGATTCAAACATCAAAATTACACCACTGAAATAAAACCTTGATTAAAATATATCTGGTTTGCTGACAGTTGTGAGTTCAATCCCTGAAACGTTGGGCATATGGCTATATTTTGTTGAAACATTAATTCCTGCATGATCATTAAATTTAAGCAATGGAGAGCCAAGTTCCAATTCCAGTCAGGTTCATTATATTCACTAATGCACAAATGCCCTTGAGAAATATGAATTTATCTCTTCTCCTACCAGCTGTGGGTTAATTAGTATGAATTGTATCTGTAAATCACTATTAACTCAAAAAAATTTGTACAATTTTTAAAAAAGTTATTTGCTGGCTTTAAATAACCTGCAAAAAATAAATCAATCAATATTGGAAAGTTGAATGAAAACAATTTACCCTTATGAGTCAAAATTTTGCAAAGGTTACAAAGTACAGCAATAGATACCTGAAGAAGGCTGGAGAATATAACGGCTGAAACATTGTGAGTATAGCAAACAAGTTGAACACATTGGTCCAAATAATAAGGCATATAATAATGAAAATTCCTCGCCTAAAAGATTCCGATATACATTCATGTATCAAATACAAATGCCAGCACAATTTAATTATTTCCTTCAATTCTAAAACTAAGTACAGTGATTATTTGACTCAACACATTATTTTTCAAATAATTTTCTCTGCAGCATTGATTATTGCATTCTACATTGACATTTGCTGCCATATCTGATGCTTCTTCTATGCGTCTAGAGATACTTTACAAAAAGCCCAAAGAAAAATCTGCAATGTTCTTGGTCCTGACCTGGAATCTTGACTCCAATCACTTAACGTAGCTTCTCTGTACCTCTTCTTCTATGAATATTTTCATGATAACTCTTCTGATGAGCTTTCCTCTTTGTTACATGGACTTCACAAAATTTAAGTGCAGTACTAGATTGGCAATTAGGTCTCATGCTTGAAATTGCTACATGTAAATGTCAGTTCTATGCTGATTTTCTTTTCTCACACTTCTCACTTGTGGAAATCTTTTTCAGTTTCTTACTTTCCAGTCAAGTTTGATCTTCAAAAATGCAATGTCAATTCTCATGTTCTGTCTCTTTAATTTCTATTCTTTTATTGGATTCTCTCCTTAATAATAATGCTTACAGCCACATCACATTGAAGCACTGGTTCTCTATGATCACCAAAGTTAAGCAACATTGAGTCTGGTCAGTACCTAGATCGGTGACCACTTGAGAATATCAGGTGTTATAAGCTTGGATGTGCAGGTGCTGTAATTGGTAATGGCTCAGAATTATTAATCGGAGAGTCAAGTTCCAATTCCATTTGGGTTGGTTATATTCACTTACATACAAATACACTTGGGAGAAATATGAATCCTCCTCTTCTCCCCCAGCTATAGGTTAAATAGTAGGTCTTGTATCACTAAATCATTATCTAAAAAAAATTTCTTACAATCTAAAATTTTCTGTAACCTGCAATGGGTTGATAAGTCATAGAAAACGAATCAATTAACCTTTAATAATAATGATTTTTCTCATATTCTTTCACACTTAGTAACTTCTTATGTCTTAGTAACTTCTTATGTCTTGCTTGAAGTGAAAGGATTAAAAAGTATTTGAACTGTCATGTTTATTTTATAATTTGATAAATTACCACTGGCATGACTTTCAAATGTCACTTGTATTTGGTACAAAAACAGAAGTGTATCTTAATTAATATTTTTTCAGTATTTCTTATTTTAAATTCTTACTACTGATAGTAAACAATATTTTTTTAAATGCTGAGAGTTCTTTTCTATGTAAACGTTTAGGAACACCAGACTCTAAAGCAACTTGTGGTCTTGTGTCAGACTAATCAAAGTGTTGAAAATGCCTGAGACTAATGTTATCTACTCACAAGTATTCAGTCTTCTTTATAATAGTCACTTTTAGCTTCTAGGGGTCAATTCACTTTAGTAGTACACGACACCAGTCCAGACGATTCATCTGTCTTGTTCTCTGAAACACTTGTGCGTGCTAAGGCGTGTCTCTGCTTGAAAGAAAAGAAAACACTAAACTTAATGACCACTGTTGTGAACACATGACAAGCAGCTCTTTAGGAAGTCTCCTTTCCTGGTAGATACTATGACTGTCATATTGGGTTAAATGAGTTAAGGAATAAAGTAGTAGACTCTCCCACCCTTTCTGTCTGTTCGTCTCAATTGTGACCCTTGCACTTCATATGGAAATTCAGTTCATTTGATATGCGATATATCAAGAAACATCACTCTTCTTGGCATTCATAAACAGAGAAAAGGACAAAGATATTTTTTATTGAAATTTTACAGGTATGCCAACTCATTACAGCTGTAAAATTTAATCCCGTTAGTAACTGGCTCGTTATTCTAAAAATGCCCATTAAAAAAAGAATGTTGAATATATGGTTTATAAATCTTAAACACCAAAAATCAATTGAAGTAGGTTGTTTTCAAACCATCTGTCAAAGTTCCTTTTTTTTTTCCTTCTTTTGTACTGGGACTCTTCAAGACGTGGGCGATCATGGCTCTCCACAACTTCCTGTCCTTTGTAGTTCTAATTAATACCTGTTTCTTTATTATCCCTTCCAGTCCATAGGGCTTACGGTCAAATTACACTGGAAACATCAGTTCCCGTTCGATAATAGAAGTTAAGCAGTGTCAAGCCTGGTTAATACTTAGAGCAAGGATGGCTGGGTACTGTAAGCATTAGCAACCTCCTACAATCCGAAATGTTTCGTCTCTAAATAACAAAAAAAAAAAAAGAGTTAATAATGAAATCCATTTTTATACGGGATTGTTAGATAGAATACTTGGTGTTTATCTTTGTTCCTCTTGCCTTCAGCGTGTTTTGTGAGTGTCAGATTCTCCGAACCTTCTTTCCTCAATATATGTTCCAGACATTTCAACTGTCTTTTTCTGATCCTCAACACATGTGGCTTACGTACCTTGACAGCAGAGATGTCTCATTACAACAGGTTGACTTGATTTTGATTCGATAAATTCGATAACCGGAAAAGGCTTTGAATGTTGCCAACTCGATAAATGAAATTCCTTGTTTGTTTTTAACAGAAAATATTTCTTAAAAGATAAAGTCGGGTTTATTTTTAAATAAATACATGGTATACGTTAGGTAGTTCTTGTAAAGCGTGAAGAATGATCCCAAATCGCCACAAGTCGTTCGGGTCGAAGGGGCACCACATGAATTGCAGGCGTAGTAGCGGTGGGGTGCCTAGGACAGTGTCGAGATCACCGGTGGCTTCGACAGAGCCCATCTCTCTCTTTTGAATTCAGTTTTCCTTCTCCTAGATCGGTTACCATCCAAAACTAGAGGGTCCAGTATGTTCCTAGTTCGGAGTGGGGAGATATGTATTCGTTCCTTTTTAGGGTATCTGTGCTTCAGCAGGAATTTGAACCCGGCCCGCCAATTCCACTTTCAACGCCAATAGCCACTACTACGCTACAAATACGCATATACAAATACCTGTAGAGTTAAAAACTAAAAAGAGGTTTCCAATTTTAAACTACGTCATAATGCCCTTCTCTTGTTAACTGTTTACTTACTACGTCGAACATCTGCTTTGTGTGTGTAAGGGAGAGAGATAGAAAGCATAATTATTTTCCGATTTATGCTACTGAACTGACTGCCGTTAAAAATGATTTGAACGTTGCTAAGCGGGGGGGGGGAGAGAATAATTAGACAAAAATCAAGAATGACAATCAAAGAAATCCGGACAATTAAAAATTGTTACAGCTTTGTCTAAAAAAAAATATAGATATGTCTCCAATGCTACACTTGTTGATTTCCTACTGACAAAGCCCGCATTAACTAGGAAATAAATCCTTTTTGTCTATTACGCAAAATCTTAAGATGTACCTTTCAAGAAATTGCTGCTTTTTCTAGCATTGTTGCTCAGACAAAAAAAAATCGACGCATCCAGTAATTTGTTAGTAAGTTATTAGGAATTATTACTTTGTTAAGAACAGAGTCAAGTTGTTTCAAGGACTGTTTTACAAGGCTGATGAAATTGAAAGCAGATCATGGCTCAAGATTAATAACAATGAATTTAAAAAGAGGCTAGAGACGGAAACAAACACGGAGAGAAACAATTATTACAGTACTACTGGCTTACGACCATATTCACGTTGAAGCACCAGTTCTCTTACGATCACCGAAGTTTAAACAACGTTGTGCATGGTGAGTACTTAGATAGGAGACCACTTGGGAATATCAGATGATGTAAACTTGGATGTGCGGATGGACAACGGTTCGGAATTGGAAACAGTAGAGCCGAGTTCGAATTCCAGTCGAGTTTGTTACATTCACTTACGCGCAGATACCCTTGGGAAAGGTATGAAACCACCTCTTCTCTCCCCCCAACTATGGGTTAATTAGTAGGACTTGTATCAGTAAATCATTATTATCTCAAACAAATCCTTACAGTCTAAGAATATTTTCGAAAGGTTCATAATTCGTAAAAAATTAATCAATCCACATTTATCCGTATGTGAAGCGAAAAGAAAAATCGAAATCAGTCAAATATTATCCCATTCTAATATTTAATTTCAGAAAATCTTATTGAGAATTTAGGAAACTATACTTAACGTTTGATAAAAACGCTGATAAAATCAATTCAATCAATTTTTGTTTAAGTTGGTTACGTTTTCAACCAGAAACTACTTTTATAAATACACCTACTTTAATTTGTCTTCAAACGACAGAAAACAAAAATGCGAGGCCAAATGCAAACAGACAAAAGATGACACATTTTTTTTCATCAAAAGTAAAGTGAACAAACCTTGAATAAATCATTTGAAAATGTTAAATTTCTTTCAGAAAATGTTTTTTTTTTTTCGATAATTTAGGTATTATTCAATTATATTGGAATTTTGAACAATCCGAGCATATCTTTCAACCTCTGCCCCAAAGTGTCCAGATAATCGAGGAAGTACTGTATTAAGAATAAAATTGTGTATGTAAGGCATGTTGTATGAGTTTGCAGTAGAGCAGTTGTTCATTTCCTTAAGTGAAAGAAGAATATTAATTTTTTCCTGCATTTCACTAGCAAAATTATGCTAAGGATTTGCTTCTTGCTTGACATATTTGGGAAGGATATTAATCCAGAATCTATATTGGAAGCAACCGCCTGCAGACAGAGAGAAAATGAATTCAGTAAAAATATAAAATTAGAAAGTGCTGTAAGACAAGGATGAGTCTTCTCACCAGACTTATTGAACCTTTACAATGAAGCAGTCCTGAGAGAATTAGAAGACCTTATACCAAGATTCATTATTTGCGGTCACAATCTTAACATATGCAGATGATATAGTGTTAAAAGCAGGCACAGAAAGGAAACTACAAGAACTCCTAGAGAAAATAGTGAAGAAAAGCAGGAAGAAAGGACTAAATATCAATTCAAAAGAAGACAGAATGCATTGTTGTTAGCAAAAAGAACAGCTCAACATGCGACTTACAAATTGGAGATAACAAAATCAAACAAGTACAATAATTTAAATATTTGAAAAGTGTTTTAACAGAGGACGGAAAATGCGACACTGAAATCCGAAGGCGCATTAGCATAGTGAAAGATGCCTTTTAAAAGTTAATCAGTGTATTAAGAAAGAGGAAAATATAATTAGAAACAAATTCCAAGAAGACAGAATTAAATCCGAAGGTGCTTTAGGATAGTCAAAGATGCCTTCTAAAAGTTAATCAGTTTATTAAGAAAGAGGAAAATATAATTAGAAACAAATTCCAAGAAGACAGAATGAAATCCAAAGGTGCTTTAGGATAGTCAAAGATGCCTTCTAAAAGTTAATCAGTGTATTAAGAAACATGAAAAATCGTTAGAAACAAAGAAAAGAGTACTGGATGGTTATGTAATATCAGTCCTTCTATATGATAGTAAATGCTGGACAATCACCTTATAGATGAAGAGACTTGAAGCAACAGAAATGTGGTTGTACAGAAAAATGCTGAAAATACTCTGGACGGAACATGGGGACAACAACGAAGTTTTATAGAGAATGTGGAAACAAAAATGACACTTATGCTTACCTTATACTGGCACATAGGAAAGAGTGCTTGAAAAATTTGATGCTTACACGACAGATTGAAAGCAAGATGGACAGAGGAAAATAACGCATAATTTGCCGAGCGAGCTTGAGGAAATGGATGGTAGAACAATGTTTAGGAGAGATAACAAATAAACAAACTTTATTAAGGAGTAATTAAAAAATTGTGGAGAACCATGATCGCCAACATCCGGATACGGCACATACAATAATAATAATAATAAAGCTTATAGCCGTGCTTAGATTGGTAAATTTCACGCATTTCGGTAGACTGTGTATTCTACCGATACAGTAGCAAAACAAAATCCCTTGTATACAGCGCATGAATCTTAAAATCACAAAGTGATGGATTGTCAGAAGAAAGTTTCAAATAGCAAAATGCTTTATACGATTATTATTATTATTCGAATCTTCAACACAAAAATATTCTATAGACAGCGAATGCGAGAAATACAACAGGCGATATTCTACGCAGTCCGTTTTTAATTCATTCACTAACTTAAAAAAAAAAGAAAACTAACAATTTACGGCAACTAAAGAAGACAGACTCAGACGATAACATTATCATTATAAAATGCTGTTACAATGTCAGATAGAGAAAAAAGGAGTGTTTTGTTCGAAATAAAAGACGTGAATTAACATTCAAATTCAGCCTTTATCTTTTCATAAAAGTCTGTTGAATTTTTCTCCCGCTTCAATTTTTTTTGTAGTTTCTTGATAGAAGAAACATTTTAACCAATCAGTCAACCAATACTAAATGTAAAACAGTAAACAAAACACTGTGAAGCGTTTACTCGATCAGTTTTTAATTTTGTTTCATTTTTAGCATCCCGCTACCACCTTTTTTTATCAATATCAATTTTTGTACAAAAAGTGGATCACAGTGCTTATTCAGCTTAATGTATATTTTCAGAAAATCTCAACTTCTAATTGGTCACTTAATATTTAATAACATCTACCTAGTTCTTGACCTGACCAAAAAGATTATTCCGCCAAAATCTATCGAGCTTCTGTGAGCCTATCACGTGACCAGAGTTAGCAATAAAATATGAAACGTCTTTCATCTTCGACAATTCGCCGATCGGAATCCTTTGAACTCGTCACACAGTTCCAGGCTTTACGTTAAATTTCCTTAACATGATTCCAGCCTGAGAGAACACTCATTCACACAGCAATATCTTATGACGAAAAATCAACTCAGGTTTTCCACATTCAACTTAATACACGAATCTTTTTCATACGCTTTCAAGCTCAAAATTAATTATTGCAATTAACATAAACACAGCTTGTTAAGAACCACTTACCCCAACTAGAATATTCTCTTCGAACAAGTGAAAACAAATCAAAGAGCGACAATTCCGTAAACCTTAAAGTAAGTCGTAAACAATAATTCTCTATTTCAAATACAAACTTGAACTGTTTATTTTTTTCAATTACTATAATACCAAAACACACTTTCTTATTATTGTAAAGACCATTCAACAAATTATAATCTATCAAACCAGAACTTTGGTAACTTTTCATCTAAACATAAAAGGACGTTTGAACTTTTTAAAACTACCTTTTTACTCCAGTTGTTTGTATCTCTTGTTTATATAAATATTTTATTCATTGTTGTGCAAAAACTGTTGTTTCTCATGTTGTCCTTATTCTATGTTTGTTGAATACTAAAATTTAATGTGAGAGGAAATTGTTAATTTCATCACGCAGCCTAATTTACTCAACAATTTTTGATCAGTATAATTTAATTAACACAACCACTACACATTCATATATATATATATATATATATATATATATATATATATATATATATATATATATATATATATATATAATGTGTGTGTAAAGTGATATATATATAATGTGTGTGTGTAAAGTGATATATAGTATAAATGGTTGATAAGTAAATGATAAATTGGTAAAAACTTTTTCGTCAAGCGTTTCGTCCCGATATGTTTCATAGTTTAATTTTGAAGAAGTTATTTCTTTGAACGAAACTCATCGCTAAGAAATTTAAAGAAATTTTTTCAATTCCACACACACACACACACACACACACACACACACACACACACACACACACATATAAGGTTAGAAAAAACGTCTTGTCTCAATTGAAGATGGAAAAGAAAGAAATGCTTTTTTAGTCCAAGCTGATACATTTAGAAATGTATTACATGCCTTCTCTCACAGCCTGAAAAGGAAAGCTAGTGCATTTTTAAAAATATGTTCAACACGTCATGTTGCAAGTGGTCATGTTTTACCGACGTATCAAGAAAACCACCTTCTCTTCGTGTCGTCTACTGACTGGCTGTTAAGGGTTACATAACGACCAAACGTGGCGTATATTAAATAGGGAAGGAGGGGAGTGTAATCCAACATATTCAATCAAGATAATATTTCCCTCCATTATCGATAACATAATCCAGTCTATTCAGCAAATTCTTGACCCTCCATATTCGGTTTTCGATGAAAAGAAACATTCAATATTAGTTTTAATCGTTTCACAATTAATAAACTGTTTTCCATTTTAAAATGTTGCAATAATTCGAGCAAACTGTTAAGTGAATTTTCCCTCCTCTTCCTTAATTAGTATTCACTGTGTTTGGTTGGCCATGTGACTTAACAGCCAGTCATTGGAGACCTTGCTTTACAAATGCATCGAGATTATGCTTTCCTGATATAAGGGGAAAACAAAACTTCTTGCAACGTGAGCTTCTGGACCTTTGAATAAAAAAATAAGACGTTTGTAGCACCCACTAGCAATCCTTTTCATGGTCGGGGAGAAAGTATATATTTTCTTTGGTTTGGTTTATTTTGTTTTACAGCATATCAACCTCAATGGGTTATTTAATGCCGACAACATGTTTAGCATAGATTCGTATGAATAGAATATGTATTCTTTGGTTTAGATTGGTTTGGTTTATTTTGTTTTACAGCATATCAACCTCAATGGGTTATTTAATACCGACAACATTTTTTATTGCTGATAATATTTTATTTTGTCAATCTGTTTCTGGTAATATTTTTTTCAAAATGGTATTGCTGGTAATAGTTAACTATTTGCCCATAGCTGGGACCCTAACAGGTGCTACCATCCTGGGTCAGGGTGGACCTGGGAACACCAGCAATTAAGAGGTGGTTCCACGCTTCTCAAAACCTCCT